ATAAACAGAAATCTAGTATAAAACATATTAGGTTATATTTTGTTTTTCTAGGGACATATGCATTCTGTCAAAAGAATATGAGGTATTGTCCTCAAGGTATAGACGGAAAAAATTTAAAAAATGAGAAGAACGTGAGGGACTTTTTAAAACATCACTATGCATTATATTATATCACACTTTAAGCACAGAGAAAGAGAATACATGAAATTAGTTTTATGTATCGATATTTCACAGTAAGCTTTTTTGAAGGGTCAGAGAAATGAGAAATTAAATTTTTCCCTTTTTTATAATCACCATGCATTTTTTCCAGTGACATGGAGATTGATTCAGAGTTTAAAAGACAGGAACTTGCTCTACCAAAATATGAAACTAAAGCTGCCAGGAATTTTTTAAAAGTCAGCAACTTCTGGATCTACAATTCAATTATTAGACATTTCTATGTCTGTATTAATATTACTCTGTGATGAAAAAAATTAATTAGAATAAAAAGTCCTTGAACTAAAGTCTTATCATTTTCTCAATTTAGAATGTAAGTTTAACATAGAGTAAGTTTCCTCAACAATGAAAACTCATCCAAATTATTTTTATTCCGTAAGAGATCATAAATTCATATACAATTATAAAGCATTATGTGAAATTCTTCTACCTGTAGATATCCAAATGTTGTCATTTCAAAGTAAAAAGTTATTTATCCTCTTCTTGATTATAATTAAAGTAAGAGATAATCGCTTATTGTATAACTGCAAAAGTCAGTTATGCTCATATGCCAATCCACATATTTTACTGCAAATTATTACCTTCTAGTAAACCAAAGAAGCTATACTTTAAATGACGTCCAATTTAATTCTAAAATAACAGCAAATTCCTATTAAGAACACTGCAAATATTAAAATAACTTGCATTCGTTAAAATTATGGCATAATGAACTGTGCTTAAAAAGAAAAAGAGTACCTTGTCAAAAGGTTTTCCAATAGCATTTTCTAAAGATAAATCTTCCACTTCAAGTGATGGGTTATGGCATTTTAGTTCCTTGAGACATGCATTTAAAATGTCCAGTATAGCAGTCTGTATGGCAAGCATGGCAGGTGTCATAGAAACATGAATTTCTACAACTTCAGGTTTGTGCTGTTCTAAAAATGAGTTTACTGCTACATGGAACCTAAAGAGACAAAGATTGTTCAAATATTTTCTAGACTTTCAACAGCTATGTAATTCTAGTCTCGGTTTAATAATCTAATGATTTTTGTAAGTGTAATTAAGAAAGAAATAAAATGGAAAGCAAAATGACAGTGTTTTCAAGAATGCTTTGAACCTCAGTGAATGGAAGTACTGTATTATTCAAGTAAGGCAGGGGTCAGAAAACTATGGTCCGGGCCAAATCCAGTGCCTGCTTTTATAGTCTTATTGTAATGCAGCCACACCCACTGTTTATCTAAGCAGTCTGGCTGCTTTCATGCTGTAATAACTGACTTACGTAATTGTGACAAACTATATAGCCTTCAAAGCCTAAAATATTTAATATCTGGTCATTTACAGAAAAAGTTTGCTGATCGCCAAAATAAGGTGTAATCAAGAAGGGAAACATACAACAACCACTCTTAAAATAACACATAGTATAAGCAAAATACATATTAGCATAGGTTACAAAAATGTTTGAAAATTGAAACCTTATGTTTTTCCTAGAAATTTACATAAATTCTTCAAAATCTTTGTGCTTTATTTCCCTGATGAGGAATTTTCAGAGTGGAAGTGCTAGTCTTAGCCAATAACTCTGCAGTTCACCTACAGCTGTTGTGCATGTGGGTCTCTAGATTCCTGGGGTTTCACTAAATGTATAAGCAAGAATAAATTGGCTGCCCTTGGATGCACTACCAGAAATATAACTATCATATTGCTCCCTACTTTTAAAAGAATCACAAATATGGTGACTACATATTTATATCTGGATGTGTTTGTTACGAACCTGACTAACATCTACCAAGTACAGTTACAGCAAATTTTACAGTACGTTATATTAAAGTACAACTAAGTTATGGCAGATCTTCTCACAAAAATTTATCACATAACACTACTTACCTGGGCCACAGATATAGCTTCCTCACAAAAAGATTTCTCATCACTCTTTCCACATGACAAAAACCAGTATCAAAAGCAACAGCATTGTCTGTGAAAGCTTTAATAAAACCACGCTTGTTTTTCTGGCGAAAGAGGCGCAAGATGAATGCTTCTTGACAAGACTCGATTATTCTGTGGGCTCTATACACCAAGATGCCTGAGGGGGGGAATTATAATTTCAATTACAGAATAGATAGGTAATTTTCATACTCACTTTCACTCATTCATTCATCACATTTTTCTTGAATACCTACATGAGAAGGGACAGGCACTGCTCTAGGCTGGGGATACAGCCATGAACAAAACAGATGTAAAGCTCTGCCTTCATGGAATTTACAAGAAATAATATAAATAAGTAAAATATTTAGTATGATAAAAGTGCTAAGGGGGAAAAAAAATGAATCAAAGAAGGAAGAGAGGGAGTGTGTATGGCAGGGGGGCGCTGTGCCTCACCTATGTGACAGCTGAGTAAAGGCTGGATGGAGAAGAGGAAGTGAGCCTTGTGGCCATCTGGGGCCAAGAGAAGTCCAGGTTGAGGAAACAGTAAGAGCAAAGGCCCTGGGGCGGGGTGTGTCTGGCATGTTGGAAGAAGAATTTCTGAAAGCAAAGTAGGTCACTAATTCTCTTTTTAAAATGAATCAGATGTAGACTATACAAAATAGTTGCATTTTGGAAGTTTCAGCAGTATCTGCATCACCTATTAGATTAAAATACAGTCAATTGAGAAGTAAATTAGTCCATTTAAAATAAATACCTTTAATAAATACATTTAACACATTTTTGGGGATGTGCATGATTATGACACCTCTGAATCTCAAAAACAAGGACAATTATACATGTTCCCTTATTTAGAAAATGAGGATACTGAACCAGGAGATCTTTTATACACATATGTCATTTTGATGCAGTGTGGATTAGTGATAAGTTAGGGAAAAGTATGACATGACATTAAGAACATATAGACACAATTTCTTGAGAAAAAAACTCAATTACTCTATGGGTCTCAGTCTTTTAGACCTAAATCAAGCTGATTACCCCATATATATATTTGCTATAAATGTACTTGCATGTTTTTGATCCACTTCCTATCACTTTTAGGGTATGGAAAATGATACTAATAGTGATTTATGACCCTTCTAGTAGTTCAATAAACTCAATTCAGATTTTACTATTTTGAAATTTAAATTTTGGATCAAGATGGATGGAGTTAAAATTTACTGTAGCTAAGCAAATTATTTTTCAAACATGGTAAAAATTAACAGTGCTATTTAGGAATTTGTAGACAAAGGATTTTCAATAACCCCCAATACATTTACATAACTAGTTTACTACTCAGAAAATATCCTGTGCCTAGTCAGTAGGTTTTTCCAGGGACTCTGTGGGCCACACTTTGGCAGCCTGGATTGAATCACCAAATAAAGTTAAGAATAATAAAAATGATCTATAGAAAAGTGGAACCTTGATTTAAGAAAATGTGCTCAAAAAAATTATCATTATTTGGAACCCAGAAGGAAGAAGAGAACTAATGCTATATCCCAGGCACTGGGTTAGGTGTTTTTATAGATTTTTATTTCATTAAATCCTCACAATAATTCTATGTGGTAGGTATTATGATGAGGTCAAGAAAGGGAAGCAACTTGACCAAGCTCACCCAGCAAGGAAGTGGGGGCCAAAGGTTCCAAATCATGTGTGAAGCCATGTCATTCCCACTAAGTGACACCACCTCAGGACCCTCCTCGTTTAAAAAATAAATAAAAATAAAAACAACATAAGCAGGTTTAGTTCTGGTTGGCAGGGAGACCTAGGGTGTGCTGTGCTGGTAATAATGGGTGGTGACTGGTGAAGACGTTAGGGCTGGAGGGATTCAGTACTTTCTAGAGGGTTACCTGCTTCAGGGACTGCCCTTCGGTGTGTAAGAGCTTTGGTGAAAACTCTTACAGAGGATCTTGGTGGATGATCCCAAGGGATGAAGGATTTGAAAGAATTCATTGCAGGTACTCATTTGCATTCCATTCAGCCAAGCATCAGTAGCTCCAGCGTCATTACTGGTTGGGATTTGAGAGAATCTGGCACTTTTAATTAGAAACTGCCTATAAGCCAGATGTTGATGCTGCATTGATTCAGATTGCTCTCTGCCTTATTAGGTTGAGCTGTAACTGAAAGTCAGAGTAATACTGACACCTAGTGGTAGTTCCAATATAATTTTTAAAAATTTATTAATATCAACGTAAAAAATAAAAGTAAAACCAAGCTTTATATAAAACAACAAACAGTAAAAGACTTTATGATGCGTTAAGATTACAGTTATAAAAAGTCATTATCTTCTTTTTGCTATTATTTATTAGACTTTACTATGCACTGGGCACTATAATAAGCAATTTCTTTTATCTTAATCCTTACGATAACTCTAGGAGGCACTATTTTCTTGATTTAAGAAATGGGAAAACTGAGGTTCATAGAAATTGAGGAGCTTGCTTTGTAAACAGGGTATTAGAATTCAAAATCAGGTGAGTCTGACTGCAAGGCCCATGACACTGTTTATAATAATTATAAATGTTAGAATAACAAAACTTTCTTCAATCAGTTCACCATTAACTATATAAAGGAATCATTCATATATTTATTCATTAAATATTTCTTGAGGGTCATCTAGGTTTAAGGCAATATGACAGATACAGTGTTAAGTAGGGTTGTGAATTTCATAGTCTTTCTGCCCTTCTTCTGCCCTCCAGAAGTTCATTAAAGATCACAGTACTATATCCATCCATCATTCATCCAGCAAACATGTGTTTAGTGCCTACCATGTACCCGTTAGTCAGCCTGAGATGAACAAGTTGTTCCTTGTGCTTAAAAAGCTTATCTCATGAGTGACATAAGCTCACTCACAAATAAACAGGCAAATAAAATGTGGTGTTCTGAGTGCTATGATTGCAGAGAAGTTGAAGACACAGAGGTAGGGCCCCTAAATTAGCTTTGGGGAAATCAGAAAAGGTTTCTGAGAGGGCAAATAATGAAAACTAATTCCTTTTTTTTATATTAATTCTAGCTAACATTAAACCATTTTTCTCAAAATAATTAAGCAACTACTTGGTTTAATTTCAAATCACTGGGAAAATATTCTCAAAGATGAAAATTAAATATTTTAGGAAATATACAAATATTATTTATAAAGATTTCAAATCTGATTAAGTTCTAAAAAGCAAATGCCAGCCAATAACAAGTATTTACTGAATATGAGCTTAGAAAACAAGGAAAAGTCAATTTTATGTTTAATTACTTATACAGGTCACAAATATTTATTGAGGATCTGCAATGTGTCAGATATTGTGCTAACGGCTGGAAGCATAATGTTGAGCAAAGAGACCCAGTGGTACCCACTAGAAGGTTCTAGTTTAGAGTTTGGTAGAAGGGGCAGACAAAAATAAAAGTGCCCACATTTACACACAAATAATGATAAGATTTCAAATTCTTACCAGTAATTAAATCTGAAGGTATTCTATTAGTCAAGAAATCAACCACGAGTATTCTACTTGTTGCAAATATGACACCGCCTTCTGTGTAAACTTCATAGCGATTGTTACTTGCGATTTCGTTTGTTACTCGGCGAGGGAGGTGTTCTACTCCTTCTGTCTTCAGCTGATTGATAAAAAACTCCTAAATCAAATCAAACTTGCAATTAGTAAGCTGTTTAATACAGGGCAGTTTTTAATAGCTTGCAGGTATTTAACATGGTGTGCTGCCCTTCTCAGAGACAATGAGCTTAATAATGAATATACAAACTAAGTTACTACTTTATGTTGATCAACCAACCTGTCTGCTAGGTTTTTTTGTTAGTTTGTGTTAAACTAAGGAATAATTGCACCTCAGTCATTATTAGCACTTTATCAACAACAACAACAAACTCCCCCTGCTGAACTCTTAAAACCCTTGGTTAAAAGACGGCTACTTAGAAAATACTTCCCACCCAAGCCATGTTTGCAGTCAAGTGTATTCTGTGGGAGGATAACAAGGTAATTCTTTTCCCAGACAGTGTTTTAGACTATTAATTCTGTCCTGACCCATCCTAAAGGGACTTCAATACCACCTTTCCTGGGCACTGGCTGTTGTCCTAGGCCTTGTGCCAAGCACTAGGGATACCTAGATGAATTAAACAGGGTCCCTGAGTTCAAGGAGTCTGTGGTCATTCCTCTCAGCTGTTATTTTTCTCCTGGCCACCAGCTCTAATTAAGAGATTATCAGATTTGTCAGACCAGGTCCCCTCTCAACAAGCCCCAGGACAGGTGTATCTCCATTCCATCTTCCTTGGTGTCCCCATTCTCCTATACAGCAGTTAACCTTCCCCACTATCCTCAGCTTCTAGTCCCTTGTGACTCTATGGCCCTCTTCCCACAGCCTTGGAGGACAGCCTATTCCCCTCAGTCCCTTCTCTTCCCTACAGGGTTTGCCCAGCCTCAGCCTCTCCTCGAAGGCCATCCCCATCACTGTTCTCTTTTAGGGATCCCACTCCTCTGCCCCTAGAAACCCAACTTAAAATCCAACTTTTTGAGACTTCCTCATTTTTCCTATCCAGATCCTCCTTCAGACATCTCCCAGTCCCTCGCAGGACCTCCAGTCCTCACCTGCCACCATCCTCCTGAAAGGACTCCCGTACTCCTCTCAGAGCCCCTCCATCTTTCTGCGCCCTCGCACCCAACTCAGGGATCTGCATCCCCCTAGGCACCCCTCCCATGTAACCCTGAACTCCTGTCAGGGACCTGCATCCTCCTCAGGACACCCCTCCCCTGCCCCCATCCTTCTCAGTGTGTCCACACACAGTGTCAGGGACCTGCATTCCCCTGGGGACCCCTTCCTTTCTTCTCGCTGTCACCGCACAACGTCAGGGACCTGCATGCCCCTGGGGACCCCTGCCATCCTTTTCAGTGTCGTCGCATAGTGTCAGGGACCTGCATCCCTCTCGGACCCCCCTCCCCCGCCGCAGCCCTGTCAGTGGCCTCGCATCCGGGCCAGAGCCCGCATCCGCTCAGGAGGTCCCCCCGCTCTCGGGGTCCCCTCACTCCCGCGTCGGCGGCGGCCGCACCTCCTCGGCCGGCTGCGTGTTGAGCACCAGCACCAGGCAGGCGGGGTGGCAGTGAAGCTGGAGGAAATGGTAGAGGAGCCGGTCCGCGCCGAGCCCGCGGGCGCACACTACCAGCCCGTCCGTGTCGAGTAGTTCCAGCACCAGCTGCCGCTCATACTCCAACAGCGGCGCCATGGCCGTCCGTCGGGCCGGCGATCCCGGCTCCATGGAAGCCCTTCCGGGGCGCAGCCGAACGCAGCCGAAGAGAGCCGAGTCCGAAAGGGCGACAGCTGGCTGAAGGCAGCCGAAAAGAAGCCGAGGCCGAGACGAAAGTCTCCCGAAGAAAGCCGAAGAGAGCCGAGCCCAAGAAAAACCGGCAGAGGCCGAACTCAGCCGAATCGGAGCCGACTGGAGCCGAAGATTCATAGGCTCAAGGCGAGGTGCTGGAGCTCCCGGCCGGTGTCGTCTCCAGACTCCATACCCCATCCGCGTGCCTCCCGTGGTTCCACCTCCTCTGGTACCCTAGACTTAGACCGCAAGCTACCAAAAAGCAAGGAGAGGGAAAGTAAACCTAAGGAGCTTAATCCCCCGACATCGAAAATTGAAAACGTTAATTCCAAGGGCGCCTAGAATTAGCAGCACCTGTTTCCCAGGGTGAAGTTTGGCTTGGTCCTCGTCCCCCTTTAAATTTTTATTTTTTGGAGCCAGGATCTTGATCTGTTGCCCAGGCTGGAGTGCAGTGGCTATTGAATGAGCAGAATTGTTTACTAATTTCAGGCTTACCTCCAAAAGTCTTGAATAAAATAAGCTATTTAAAAAAGGCATCCCTCCTTCCACGAGGGACACCTTCCACAGTGTGTGCTCTATACCTAGCAACCTTGTCACTCGAACTAGTAGAGGAATTACTCTGTATGGAAATCCTCCCCCCAACCTTCACTGTTAGAAAATAGAAAATACAAGTAAACAAAAATAAAATTCACTTGATAGTCTCTTACACAGAAATAGCCACTGTTAATTATTAATAATTTGGGCAAGGCCATGGGGCTAGTTAGTGTAGTTCTTAAGTTTAGTCCAGGATGTGGTAAGTATGGACTCAACATACCTTTAGGAAATGCATGTTGAAATGACAAGGCTGAAATTCAAACCTGACTCCCAAGCCGTGGTAGGCAGAATAACAGCTCCCCAAAGATGCCCATGTCCTAATTCCTGGAACCTGTGAGTATGCTATCTCACAGGGCAAAAGGTTTTTTGCAGATATGATTAAGTTAAGGATTTTGAGATGGGCAGAGTCTATTGGATCATCCGGGTGGATCCCATATATCACAGCGGTGCTTATAGAGTAAGGAGAGAGGTGGGAGGATCAGATTCAGAGGACTTGTGACAGAAAGCTGAGGTTGGAGTGATGCGGTAGGGGCCATGAGTCAATGAATGCATCCTTTAGAAGCCGGAAAAGGCAAGGAAACCAATTCTCCCTAGAACTTCCAGAATGACTGCAGCCCTGTTGATGAAGTTTGCACTTCCAACCTCCAGAACAGGAAGGATGAAGTCCCTAGCTGATCAAAACAGAACAAACTTTAAAAACCAGAGATAAGAGTATGCAGTGAAACAATCATTTTGGAAGGTGACTGGTCTACATATCTATGTATCTATATTTACATA